GAAGAGCTGCTGTAGCTCAAATTGGTGAAAAAGTTTAATGCTGGTTGTGATAGAAAGGTGTCTGAACACACAGTGCATAGCAGTTTGTTGCATATGGGGCTGCGTAGCCGCAGACTGGTTAGTGTGCCCATGCACAATGGGCATGTGAGCATCAGAAATGGACCACAGAACAATGGAGAAAGGTCGCCTAGTCTGATGAATTACATTTTCTTTTACATCATTTGGATGGCTAGGTGTGTGTGTTTTGCTTACCTGGTGAAGAGATGGCTCCCAATGCACTATGGGAAGAAGGCAAACCACAAGAAGCAGTGTGGTGATTTGGACAATGTTCTGCTGGGAAACCTTGGGTCCTGCCATTCATGTGGATGTTGCTTTGACACATACCGCCTACCTAAACATTGCAGCTGACCAAGTACACCCCTTCATGGAAACGTTATCCCGATGGCAGTGGCCTCTTTCAGCAGGATAATGCACCCTGTCACACTGCAAAAATGGTTGAAGAATAGTTCGAGGAACACAGCAATGAGTTTGAGGTGTTAACCTGGCCTCCATAGTCTCCAAATCTCAATCCACTCCAACATCTGTGGGATGTGCTGAAAAAATAAATCCGAGCCATGGGGGCCCCACCTCGCAACTTACAGGACTTAAAGGATCTGCTACTGACAGCTTGGTGCCAGATATCACAGCATACCTTAAGAGGTCTAGTGGAGTCCATGCCTTGATGGGTCAGTGCTGTTATGGTGGCAAAAGGGGGACCTACTCAATATAAGGTGGGTGGTCATAATGTTATCTATACACCGGTCTATACTGGTGTATAAATCTGACAGATGTTGTATCCCTCTTGGAATTTAAATACATTTTAATACAGCTATAATTTTTAACTTTATCAGACAGACACCCTACCCCAGCACCCCTTCCATGTCTTACACGTGCCACCATCTCCATTCATCCCTAAGACATTAAAAGCATTTTCCACCTTTTGCAAACATCTAATAAACGCACCCACAAAATAAAAAAAATAAATAAATATGCATTTATTTTATTTTTGCATTAGAGCATTGCAACTGCGTTCAGTGGATCGCAGGTGCAATGCACAGACTCCTGTAGACTGTTACCCCCCAGCTCCAGGTCTGTATAAAGGTAATTAATTACGTACGTACGTACGTACATACCATTCCGGGAATGGAGGATGTAAACAATTGACTCCTAAATGTCAATGGGACTAGTAGCTCTCAATGAAGCACGAGTGCCATGACATTACTACACTTGTGCTCCACGGAGATCCATGAGTCCCTCTGCTACAATGGCAGATGGGACCTGCAGCCTCTCCATCCACAGAGCCTGTGAATGGATGACGTGGTTGTGGCAGAGCCGTGCGTAGCCGCTCCACATTCAAATAAAGACCGAATGCTGCAGGGAGAAGAACCCTGTGATTCAATTTGGTGAGGGAGAGGGCGGTTTGGGGTTGCGATTGTGACCATAATTGTAGTTACACCCTTAATATGAGTGTACCATAAATCCTGATCAGAAAGATGGAGGATTCTTTTAAACATGCACAGAAAGTAAAATCTATAATGGTGCCACGGCCACTGGGTGGCGCTGTGTCCTGTGAATCATTCACCATAATGTGTGAATGTTCGTATTCTGCCACGGCCAGGTGACATCAGGTGAAGATTTCTTCATGAGATTACAGATTTTGCTGTCTGCCGAATCTTGTTTCGATCATTGGTCTTCCACAATTCACTTTTGGGGGTGGGGGCAGACTTTCTTTTTTTCAATCCTTTTGTTGCCAACAACCTATGTCGTACGTCGCTGGCAGCGGGCCCCTCTGAACAGGTCTGTTCAGCTGTGTAAAGCCGATGGTCGGGTTTATACTGGAAGCGATTCTGGTGGCTGAGCTGCTATCAGATTGCTTACATGGGTCGGTGAAGCGTGCCCCCCTCCCTTACTTACCGCGCTCCGCTGCCCCCCCTGCGGGTCCAAGACCGGCATCACGGGTGTCGGTGGTTAGAGGGGAGAAAGGCAGAGTAACACCTGTTTGCCAATCTTCTCCCCACTGAATGGAGCTGGAGGAGATTCATCACTTTGGGTCCCTCAGCTGTCATTCCCTGGCTAGAGAAGCCGGGGAAGAATCTTTTCAAGCGTAATCTGCTTTTGCATAGCTTCTTTGGAGTGGAAAGGTTACACTAGGAGTCTAATAGACCCCTAATGTCACCCTAGTGTGCTGTCACGTACTTGCGAGCTCCCCCCAATGTGATGGCAATGAAGTGTTAAAAAAAGTAAAATAAATGTAAAAATACAAAAAAATGTTTAAAGGAGAACTATGGGGTTAGGGCTTTTCCCCGTAGTTCTCCTTAGGGTAACAGGAGGACACAAACTAGCGTCCTCCCGACACCCTAAGCTCAGTATACTGAGACGCCACTAGTATGTGTTCGCTCACCTCCCGATCTACTGAGCCGACCTGTGACAGTGTCATTGTCTCAGGTCGGCTAGAACTATGAGGTGAGTGAAAAGCACTCATCTCATAGTTCTCCTTTAAAGTCCCCGGCCCCTGCGTGCTTAGTGACATAAACACGCGCCGGGTGTGCCTAAGTTTGAAAACGATGATTTTGCTACACATGTTTGGTATCGCTGCGTGCGGCAGAGAGCAATAATCGCAGGGCCAACATTCACGGATATCTCTAAACTGATGACCTGTACGGTCCTTTAAAGCGTCACCTATAGATAATTTGGAGTACTGTATTGTGTTGCCATGTCACAGGCGCACGCATCTTATACATTGTAAACAAAAATTGGGTTTCGTATCGTTTGTTTTAAATTGTTATTGAAATTTTGGGTTTTCATAAGCATTGCGCTTATGCGACATAAAAAAATTGCAACTGCCGCCATTTCATTCTACAGGGTCTGTGCTTTCGGGAAATATAAAATTCTCCGGGGGTTTCATGTGATATCCGGGGCTAACAATGTGGATTATAACACGTGTGCAAAACACGCACCCTGGCATCGAAAGGGTTAAAGGGGGTTAAGCGCATTTTGGGCAAATTAAGGCCTGGTTCACACCTGGGCGTATTTCAGCGCTGATCAACGCGCTGTAAAACGCCCAGCAAGTGAAATCCCATTATTTCCTATGGGCATGGTTCCCACCTGGGCGTATTTCCGCGCGTAGGAACGTGCTGAAAAACGCCCTACGCCCAAAGAAGTACAGGAGCTTCTTTGGGGCGTATTTTCCGCGCGTATCCATTAGGATACAGCTGGATAGCCCTCGTAAACGCGCGTCGCACGTTTCATTGACCGCAAATCGCTGTAAAAACGTGCAGCACGTCAAACGCGCATATTACGAACGCCCAAGTGTGAACCCAGCCTTAGGACGCGTTCTCCTGGCAACCGCCAAACCCAGACACGTCCATCGGATTGCCAGACAGAGAAGCGTGATTCGGCATTCCAGAGAACATGCCGCCACTGGACTCTAGAGAAGTGGAGACGTGTTCTCTGGAGTGACGAATCACGTTTCTCTGTCTGGCAATCCGATGGACGTGTCTGGGTTTGGCGGTTGCCAGGAGAACGGTACTTGCCTGACTGCATTGTGCCAAGTGTAAAGTTTGGGGGAGGGGGGATTATGGTGTGGGGTTGTTTTTCAGGGGTTGGGCTTTGTTCCAGTGAAGGGAACTCTTAAGGCATCAGCACACCAAGACATTTTGGACAATTTCATGCTCCCAACTTTGTGGGAACAGTTTGGGGATGGCCCCTCCCTGTTCCAGCATGACTGCGCACCAGTGCACAAAGTAAGGTCCATAGAGACATGGATGAGGGAGTTTGGGGTGGAGGGACTTGACTGGCCTGCACAGAGTCCTGACCTCAACCCGAAAGAACACCTTTGGGATGAATTAGAGTGGAGACTGCGAGCCAGGCCTTCTCCTCCAACATCAGTACCTGACCTCACAAATGGTCCAACATTCCCATAGACACACTCCTAAAGCTTGTGGACGCCTTCTCAGAAGAGTTGAAGCTGTTATAGCGGCAAAGGGTGGGCCAACTCCATAATGAACCCTACGGACTAAGACTGGGATACCATTAAGGTTCATGTGCATGTAGTAAGGCCGCGTCCCAATACTTTTGGCAATATAGTGCATATACCAATAACTAAAATAACCATACACGTTACAATCTGACCATACAATCAATTTTAGATCTATATGACGCCATACCTAAACCATCCATTCAATTTTTATCCAATCAGGCGGGCCCTTGCACTACATAGTCATTGGTAGATCTAAAGGAGATTGTAACATGGATGATGAGCTTTAAGGTGCTCATACACATTACAAATATCGCCCCATTTTCGTTTGCGATCGTGTTTTCGTCCGATATCCATAAGGTTGATGGCCAGTGTACAACAGCAAATACTGTACAATCGATCGACTTTTGACTTTCCAGCAGGTTACGATTAACACTGCTCATGCGCAAACGAAAATACGTGCAGTCGTTTACCGCAATTGGTCCAGGTGCTTTTTTTCACTACAGGCTGATTGAACCTTGCGATAGTCAAGCAGGATGGGGCCGCCGCACAAAAATCGTACGACGGTTCGATCATCGGCAAAAAGCTTCGTCCAATGATGGCAAGGTGTATGGGCACCTAAGATCTATGGACAACCGTACACAGACCTACATGATCGGATATAAATTGATTGGATAGATTAGGTCGGCGCTTATATTGCACAGTAAATCTGAAGATGATTGCAAAAGATCGTACGGTCGGATTGTATGGTGACCCTTTCGTGGATTTTTCAATGAACTTTTGTTGCAGGAGGCGGTGTGAAAGTTCAGAGAGTGCAATGTCGGTTCTAGCTCCCCGATCGGTAGATCGGTCGGTCGCATACATTCTCTTTGATGGAAGTTGATGACCTGGAGATCGCTGTACTGTAAAACGTGTGCAAAGGGGGCGACGCGCTGACGTTACGAAGGGGCGTGTCTCACCCTCATTCGTTTTCCTTTTCTCCGTGCTGTCTTGCTTAAGCTAATCTGCATAAGGGGCGTGTCCGTGTCTCGGTGCGCTCCGTGTGTGTGTCTTCTCTTCCTATTGAGTCCCCAGGCGGCTGATCTCTTCCGTGTTGGTGAGTAGTGGGGGGGGGTCCTCTAAGATTTCCGGGCTGAAGGTTGTGTGGGGTCACCGTGTGTGTGTCATGTGTCCGGTGCTCTGAGCTCCTCTGTGCATGGAGGGAAGCTCATAAATTCACTTTTATATAAACTGCTCTGTAATGTGATTTCTCTAGAAGTGCCCATAGACATGAGATAACCTTAATCTGATCTGGTTGTCGTACAATTTGATCTCATGACAATCTAATGTCTGTGGTGACGGTAGGCTGACCGCCCTTTACCAAAAAAAAGGAAAACCGCGTCTGATCTGAAGCCGCCAGTCCGCACATCCCCTGTTCTCCTGACCACGCATGTTACAATCTGATTGTACAATATATCCTTTAGATCTGCCGACAATGATGTTAGTCAGGGGTCTGCCTGATTGGATACTTCCAGTGTCATAGTCCGAGAGAAGGGTTCTTCTGCCTAAATGACAGCTGCCTCCTAACTTTTGAATTTTTCTCTAATCTAGTCTTGAAGCTGGAAAAGTATCTGTATTTATTATTATTATTTATTACAGGTATTTATATAGCGTCGACAATTTACACAGCGCTTTTACATAGTCAACATTCACATCAGTCCCTGCCCTCAAGGAGCTTACAATCTCTAAGGTCCCTATCTCGCATGCAAACATACAGGGCCAATTTAGACAGGAGCCAATATACCTTCCAGCATGTCTCTGTACTTGTACCGAGTATGGTACTTGGTATCGGTGCATCCCTACCAACAACCTTCCCACCAACATCAAGAGCTATGCTTCATTGGTAAAATGTCAGCCTTGCCCTTTGGTGATCTTTTTATGGATTCCTACTTTTGTTTGACAATTGGTTATCCGGAGCTGAGGTCTATACAGATGTCCAGGCGCTGGAAGGAAACATGTGGGTCCTTGACCATGAGGAAAGGAGAAGAGAAGGCACTTTACTAATGATAGGACAGGCAAGATAGGAAATCTTGTGGGTGGTGGTCACCGGCCCAAGAAAGGGTGACCCATTGAGTCTTCGTGCCTCTAGGCCCTATAGCAGGGACCTGATCTGTTTTGTCTCTTGTTATACCCTTGAGTGCAGAGGTCAATATGTACAGCGGCCAGAAAAGGGTGGGGTAGGTCTAGTTGTCCCCAAGTTGTGCTCTATTCTGGGCAAGTTGATGACAAAGGAGACTAAAATACAACGCCATGTTTGCCTGGTGTCCCTGGCTCGTCTCCTCATTAGAGGCTTTTCATCTGGGAGTGGGGGTGTACTGAATAAAGGAAAGGCCTCGAAGACTTCGGCATCTTCTGCAGTTATTGGAGGCATTGTGCTATGAAGGACAACTCGGGTACAAACCAAAGCTGCTTAGTTAATTAATCCTATTAACAATTTTGACCACGATGATCTTCTAGTTGAGAAACCCAGAATTTGTGTATGTGTGTGCGGGTTGAGGCACGTTACCATAGGCAGCCTGTTCTAAATGACTAAGTTACCTCCACTGTGTGCAAAAAAATATCTCCGGGGTAAAAGCATATGTGAGTTGCGGTGGACTATAACTCCCGTGTGTTCTAGTACATTGCAGATGAGCGTTGGGGTGCAACTAACTTGTGTTCAGCATGGGTCATGATGAGCGTTTGCGTGTGAACGGACCCTAATTTATTGTCTGTGAACCTTCCCACGTGTTTAAATGTTGGGGGCATGTGGCTCCCACAAAGCACGTTTTACATGAGGTTGTTGCTTTTCTGAAATGGTGTGGTGTTACAAGTTTAGTTTCTTTGTAGTTTCATACTGGGAGATTTTATTTGTTCCAGTTTAGCAGGACCTTGTCATATGAAGTTATTGCTGGCCTTGCACATTAGGAACGAGGCATTGTTTCTTAACAAGATGATGTCACCGCCTTCCAGGGCTATATGCATAGATTCTAGTAACAAGCCTTGAAACATGCATGAAAACACAAGCACCCAAGGTTCTTTATCATCACAGCAGCAGTGGAGGCCATACAGATCCCTATACAAGTCTTGATTTTTCTACAAGCCTTGAGAGTCTTTCTAACTTCCATAATTGTTGTTGATTACCAGCATAACAGCCAAGATGCTAGAATTGCAGGATAAGGTCTGCAATGACAGCCCCTGCCCAATGCCTTTTATCTGCTTTTCTGTCTGGGTTGAACCATCTCTGCTCCATAATTTTTCAGAATCGGCATCAACGTCCTGGACTCAGAGATGACAGTCATGTAAATCCTGGTGGCATTGTTCTTGGCATTGTTCACAAAGGCCTGACGCAGATCTTCCCCTACTATTAAAGCCCCTGTGACTTTAAAAGTTGCAGTCTAATCCCTGTGGGAGAGGAGACCTATTGTTTATTCCTGCCTGCAACTGACATAGGAGTGTCACCAGGCCGGGTGTCACCTGGTGTGCATGTAATTACATATATATATATATGTGACATCATTATGCACGTACTCGCCCAAATGCTCCGATGCCTAGCCTGATACTTACGGTATCAGGAAGACGGCTTCATCCTTTCTTGTCACACGTGACGAAGGAGAATGAAGCCGGCTTCCCGGCCAATCAGAAAGCCGGGCAGAGTGTAATGACACGCTGCCCGGCTTCCTGATTAGTCTGAAGCTGGCCAATCAGGAAGCCATACTCGCCTCATGACGAGGGAGCATGGAGCCGGCCAATCAGGAAGCTGGGCGCCGCGTCATTACACATCGTCCGGCTTCCTGATTGGCCAGAAAGCCGGCTCCATGATTTCTCGTCACCTGGTGACGAGAAGCATGGGGACGGCTTCCCTGCTAATCGGGAAGCCGGGTGGCGAGTCTTTACATGCTGGCCGGCTTCCCAGCTAATCAGGAAGCCAGGTGGTGAGTCAGCACATGCCGCCGTGGTTCCTGAATGAAACTTACGGTACTCCGTATTCGGTATCGGCAAGTACTGGAAAAAAAATATTGGAACTCGATACCGAAATACCGGTATCGGTGCATCCCTAGTTTGTACCATTATTATAAGCTGAATAATTGGCATCTGGAAGAAGCAGAAACCAGATTGTTTTTGTCAAAATTGAGAATCTTTGGGATGTGCTGGAGAACGCTTTACGCAGAGGTCTGACTCTCCCATCATCACTACAAGATCTTGGTGAAAAACGAATGCAACTCTGGAGGGAAATAAATGTTGTGACATTGCATAAGCTTATCGAAACGATGCCACGGCGAATGTGTGCCGTAATCAAAGCTAAAGGTGGTCCAACGAAATATTAAGGCAACTTTTGTTTTTTTTGGGCTAGGCAGTGTATATGTTGCTTTATATTCTTCTCGGTTCTAATCCCTGTAGGTTGGAATTTATTGCTAAACACCCCAAGGATGACTTGATTGAGCAACACGCTGAGCAGAGCAGTTGGGAAACTATTCTTTGTCATTTTCAGGTAACCATTTCAGTTTCAGCAGTGATGTGATCCGGTTGCGTAAATGTTCCTGTGATTTAAGGCTGTTTTTCTTTTCTTTCTGTCTTTTGAAGGTTGCAGCTATTATCCACAACCTTTTTAGTGATGATACAGAAGTGGGAAATATGGATAAAAGCCAAGCAGATCAGCTTAACAGAGCATACGAAGCATATCGTCAAGCATGTATGGATAAAGAGCGCTTCAAAAAAGAACTGCAGCAAAAGGTAAAAGGTCAACGTCGGCATCTTGAAACGTGGGCCAGACTTTCGCAGTTGTCGCGCTCAGCTCTTGATGGAACAGAGCTGCCTGAACGCAATGCAAAATATATGATTCATTTCCAATTTGGCATGCTTACCATGTTATTGAAGAAAAGGGACTCTTGCTGCATATCCTTTTTCAGTCTCTGTTTTCTTCCTTTTATTTAGATCATAATTCAGGAAAGACTTTTAAAGTGACATTAACAGCAGGTCCCAGCAAAATACTAACTAGAAATCACAGGACCCCATAGCAAACTTGTGTATGGGGCCCTGTGATTTCTTGTTATGCCCTTGCATATCACAAACAGCCCACCTGAGAGTGACCCTGCAGAGCCCGCCATAGGCTCTCTATGGTGGGCTCTGCGGGGTCTCAGGTGGGCTGCACACCTCTTACCTGTCAGCCCCGATCCACTTTCCGCCTCCATGGTCGCTGCCAGGCCGTGCCTCCTCCATTGCCGGGCCTTCCTCCTCCACAGCTGCTGGCTGTCACTGACTCGGCAGCGGCTGTGAGGAGGAACGTGCCCCTGCACAGATCACTGACAAGTTTGTTGGTGATCTAACAGTGGCAAGTTCCACCTCACACCCGCCAGTGACAGCCAGCAGCCTGAGATGCCATAGCGACCCAGGCGGCCCGCACGGCATCAGGGGGATGTCCTGGCCGGGCCCCCCTCTGCCCCAGGCCCCATAGTGGCCGTCTAGGCCGCTGTGGTGATTATTATGCCACTGCATTGCAGCCTCCATCAGACTCTTCATAAGTCAACATGTCCAGGAGGGTTGGATGTCTGTGCACCCCATGCTGTAGTTCGATCCTCTGATTTCTGAGCCGCTGCTGTGTCCTGTGTTGACCGACATCCCACACTCCTGGAAGTGTTGAGTGATAAAGACTCTGAAGGAGACTCTAGCACTCGAATGGCGTAAACTGGGGAGATGGGCAGCAGAGGTATAGGAGAGTATAAGGCCCGATGCATATGGGGCTTTTATGTGCTTTCAGGGATTCATGCGGCAAGGTAGAAATCCCAGGTGGGCCCATTCAAGCTATTGACAACTTGACAGTATCTGTCCATTGCTGTCTGCATGTAATCATACATGGAACAGGAGAGATGCTTGCAAGCTCTCTACTTCGTGGGATAAGCATCTCTCCTGATCCGCGTTGTTCTATGTGCGATTACATGCTGATAAATGTGGCTGCTGTTACCCTGGCATTAACTTAAGTGGGCACAGCGTCCGCATCTAAATGGGCAAAGCTGGGATTCCTGCAGCAAGATTCATCTATAGGTTCTGACCACAGGAATCCCTGAACGCACAGAGAAACCCTGTGTGCATTGAGCTTTAGCTCGCGGTATACTGAGACACCGCAGTATACCGCGAGGTGCTGCTCGCGGTATACTGAGACGCTGCAGCTGAAGCGGATCCCGACAATTATGCTGGGATCCGCCCAGCTGCGTGACTGACAGCTGGCTCTGCCTATCTAGAGGCAGAGCCAGCTGTACCCGCCCCCTGCCCCGTCCATTCCACCAGTCAGCGCTGGCGGATGGGAGGGGGGAATCCAGCCCCTCCCCTGTCACGGCAGAGAGCCGTGACAGGATCGAGAGGTGAGCGAACGCCGGTATGTGTTCGCTCACCTCCCGATCTACTGAGCCGACCTGTGACAGTCTCATTGTCACAGGTCGGCTAGAACTATGAGGTGAGTGAAAAGCACTCATCTCATAGTTCTGCTTTAAGCCAAGTCCTTAAAGCAGCATTGGAAGGGGAATAGAGTTTAATATCACTTTAAAGTAAAATAAAAAACATTTAAATGCCCCTCCCCGAGGTTCCAGGTTCTGGAGGAGGGATCCTGAGGGCAGTGAGGACCAGGCAGCGATATGCTGCTACAGCTGCCAATCAAATTACTGTGAGGAGGGTGGAGGCGGGAGCATGGGTCTGGCCTGCTGTGTGTGTCAGTGGAGCGGGCACGCACGGGTGTCCCCTTTGCGACATTGACAATAA